TTTACGAACACAACTGGGCTTCTAAATGGGCTTGTCCTATGTTGCTCAAGTTCGACCTGGCCCAATTGGAGCTCGGCGCAAATATAAATCTTATCGGGCTAAACCTCCAACGAATTGGGCCGTAGAGGGGTCCCTAAGACCCTAGCTTTTCACAGAAGCATTTAATCACTCCCTTTATTCCACTTTTCACGTCTCATAAATAAAATTTTCGTTTTCATTTTTGGACAATGGAAGTGAGTTTGAAGAGTCTTTTAAAAAATGCGTTGGATTCTTATTTATTTATATTTTTTAAAAAATAATTGGTTATATAATAATCTAAACAAGAAAGTCAGCCACAAAGATCGAGTAGGAATCTTGCATGGAAAATGCATTTTCTATCTCCATCTTTAAAAATATGAAATTGAGATAAGAATTTCCCAATTTATTTGACCCAATCCAAATAAATTGATGGTTCTTTATTCAGATAATGCTAAAACAAGTGACTACATTTCAAACCTCAAAAATGGAATCATTTTTAGTAATATATGCTTATTTTGACCTTACTAATTTAATTGCTATTTTTTGTTGACTATATTTTAATAATCATAGCTACATTAATAAAAATGTGATGGCTAGCTGCCACCTACCCTGTCCACTTCATAGCATAGCACAATGGAAAAGTATTTATCGAAAACCTTATTTTATTAATTAGAAAACTAGAGAGAGTACAAAATGTGTGTTCAATGCATTCAGAGTTTAATTTATTGAAAGTCATAAAATAAACTTGTAGGGAAATTTTGTTTCTTAAAAAAATATTACCAATGTTTAATAAATAGTACTTTTTTTAAAAGTAATTTATCACAATCAAATACAAAAACAGTTTGTGATATTTTAAAATTTTAATTGTATCGATCTAGTTCAATTTATTAAGATGAGACTAAAAATTTGGGAAGTTTGAATCTCAATTAAAAATTAAAATAGAAATTAAAAGAAGAATTAATATTTACTCGAAAAAAAATTTCTAAGAAATAAATAAAAAATAAATAAACTCACTCATGAAATGACACTCAGCTCTAAAACTTTAAAAAGTATTTTGGGAAGCAAAAGAGAATATATTTTTGGAAAGGAATGAAAATGAAATGGCATTTCATTTGCATTTGGATTCATTTCGGACCAATCAATCCGTTCCCCTCATTTCCCTCGTCATCCTCTTATTCACATGAATACAAATTTAGTAACTTTTTTCCAAATTTTGCCGAGGAAGAACGGGGAGAGGGGGGGAGGGGGAGAGAGAGCGAGAATGATTCACGGGTCGACGTTGTATCAAGGTTTTTTTGTTTCATGTCATTGCGATTGAAAACATTAGGATTATGGAGATCAATTCCGATGTTTCTGAGTCCGTATGATGCCCAATGAACTCAAATTCTATAGTTCTCTGAGAATGGAGAGATCGCCGAGTTCGTGACCGTGTTTCTTCCAGACGATCTCTAATACTTGCTTGTGGATCTGAGAGGGATTCGAAACCATGCCGTCCCACGCGGATCTGGACCGTCAGATCGAGCATCTGATGGAGTGCAAGCCGTTGTCGGAAGCGGAGGTGAAAATCCTGTGCGATCAGGCGAGAGCTGTTCTGGTCGAGGAGTGGAATGTGCAGCCAGTTAAGTGTCCGGTGACGGTGTGCGGAGATATTCATGGCCAGTTTTACGATCTCATTGAGCTGTTTCGGATAGGAGGCCGTACTCCCGATACTAATTACCTTTTCATGGGTGATTATGTGGGTGAGTTCTTAACTGATTATCTTTTGTTTTTGTTTTTATGCTGCCCACTTTGATATTTGGAAATTATTTGATGGCTTCATCAATCGCGTGTGTCTGCCTGCTCTCTGGTTCTTTTGTTGTTTTTGAAAATTCTCAACTTCCAAAAGAGATCGAGATTCTCCCAACCCGAAAGCCGCATCCTTCAAAAGACATGGATTCTGTACCCATACGTTAAATACAAATTTTCTGATTCATCTGAGTATGATTTCTAATTGGTTTCAGTTGTACCTCTTAACATTTAAGAGCAATTTGTCTATTAGATCATCTAGAATCATGCGCAAATGTGTTGGTTTTGTGCAAAAGTTTGTTTAAGTTGAAAACTCAAAACAGCACATATCAGATGTGCAGATAAGCTCTCTGATCAGACAACTTTTGTCCGGTGGATCATGTGGGCATATGTTCCTAGTTTCAGGATAGCTCCTTTTTGAGAGCTAAAGGGATAAAATGAACAAAGCTGACAGGTGATGATGCTATATGGTTGGTACAAATTGATGCTTGATCGATTTTTAGGGAGTCTTCACTCCTCGTCATTGTATTTCGTGTAGATGTGTTGCTTTAAACTTAGCTGTGAATTATGAACTGGGAGGTGCTTTCAGGATACACACCCCCCTCTGGGTAGGCGTTGGTGGAAGTTTACAGGATTGAATGAATTTATAGTCGTTTGCTCACGAAAGTTGCGCTCCGAAGATGGAAAGATTCCTGGAAAAAAAGAATGCCTCATGCTAGCTGATTACGGGTTTTGCTACACCTTTTAGAAATTAGTAAAATGAAAGAAAATAGGTCTTCAAATGAATCACATGCGAGGCAGACGCGGATCAATATTATAATGCTGTTTTGGAAAGGTATGTTGATGTCATCTTTAGTTTTGTAAAGAGGCAGCGCAACGGGTGTGGCGGCCTCGACGAGTCATTTACAAATTGACTACCCTTTTCTAGTGGCCAGGAATAGAGGGGGAGGCAGAGGAAATAAACCTGGGGCAATTGATGGTTTGGTTCCTTGATTTTAAATTTTGAAAAAGTATGTTAATACTTGGACATATGCTATGGAAGTTTTCAGCAGTGTTGATGAGGTGCACAGCCAGGCGCTAACCAGTGGCGAGAGGAGGTGAGGCAAGGCCTTCTTGCCATGAAAGTACCTATAGTAAGGCGCTCACATTGAAGACTTTTGTGGCAGGCTTATATTTTTGCCACCTAGGTTAGAGAAAAACAATAGAATCTTCAGGGGTTGAAAGATCCGGAGAGTATGTTAGGAAGCTT